TGACCTCAACATAATTGAAAATCTATGGATAGACCTTAAAAGAGCAGTGCGTGACAGACAGCCCAGAAATCTCAAAGAACTGGAAGACTTTTGTAAGGAAGAATGGGCAAAGATACCTCAAACAAGAATTGAAAGACTCTTGGCTGGCTACAAAAAGCGTTTACAAGCTGTGATACTTGCCAAAGGGGGCAGTACAAGATATTAACTCTGCAGGGTGCCCAAACTTTTGCAGACGCCATTTTTTTGTTTTCTGTTATTTTGTAAGTGTAAATGATGGAAATAAATCTAACTTTTGTTGACATATTATAAGAATGTCTAATCTGTAATTTGATGCCTTTTGGAGATTTTTCCATCTTTCCTTGGCTTCTTTATGCACATTAATACAAATTTTTAGCTGGGGTGCCCAAACTTTCAATCCCCACTGTAGCTGCAAGAAGTAAAGCTGATTTTTTTAGCTAGTTCCTTGCCCATAAAGGACAGCTGCTACTGATCCGGAATGATTGATGGCTTTCAGGAAAAGAACAGTCCAGAATTTGCCTTTGTACATAGGAAGTGTCCCTCTTCCATTGTTTCAAGATAAACTGGGCATCCCATAATCCCTATTTCCCTATCCAAGTTGATTTCCCCTAATAACAAACAAAACAAAGGCCATGGACTGGTCATTTGCTTTGGGTGCAAGTCTGTGTGAGAAATATCTGTTGTCTAGCTGTGTGGAAGAGATGCTTAGGGATACCCACTACACAGTGGCCCTCACGAGGGTAGCACTACAATTCTATATGTAAATGCATTGAAATTCATCCAAACGGTATTCATATCATGGTTAGCCATTCTACATATATATCATGTGACTGAAAAGAAACAATTCCTGTATGTATGTGCCTAATTTCTACTCAATAAATTGATACTTATTATTCATATATCATTCCTCATTTTAAGTCCCATGGGGAAATGTTTTAATGTTTTTATACATGACATGTATCAGGATGCAGGCATGGCACCATAGGTATCATGCTTCATTTAAAGTCCCATGGGGTAATGTTTTTGCTTTTTGTGTATGGCATGAGTAATCATTCCTGGTAATAGTAAGCATGGTTCCATTAATTTTGCAGTGACATCACAGCTGACAAAAAAAAAAACCAAGTGGTGCAGACTGGAACTAGCATTTGTATGCCCTTATGCTGACAAATTCTGTAGAAAATGGCAGCCATAAAAGAGGGTCTTGATTAGCCCAGATGTTCCCCCACAATCAGCTCCATAATTTTCAGTTAATTTTCAGTTAATTTTTTGTTAATTAAAAATGAATCACAACCTAAAACAAAATTATTGATCCTTAACCCCAATCACATACCCTCTGTTCTCAGCTGCATAACAACCTCAGAGAGCTGGGGGAGGATAATCAGCAGCACACTGACCTTCCCAGTGAATTGCTGTGCAGGGGGGCATGTCAGCACAAGACTGAGCATTGGAGTAAAGCAGGCTGAATTCCCAGCACAGCTAGGAAACTGACTATACTGTGATCTCATGCCTAGTTTGGTCAGTTTTTAAGTGAGCAGAGGGACTGGCAGGAACACCAGGGATTTTACATAAAGGAACCAATACAACGAGATCAGGATACAAATTTTCATACAAATACATGGTACAGCAAGCACAAACTAGGAATATGAAATGTTGAGTTAAATTCTTTAAATATGACAGTGTGGGGGAGATTTAGTAAACTTGGTGCACATGGAATCTGGTGCAGCTGTGCATAGTAACCAGTCAGCTTCTAATTTAATTTTTTTTCAATTAAGCTTTGACAATAAAACCTAGTTAATTGGTTCATATCCACAGCTGCACCAGATTCTGTGTGTGCCTGTTTTAGTAAATCCCCCCCTATGTGTTCGTACTTGATCCTAAAAGAAAAGAGGCAGTAACATTTTTAAACAAATAAGAAATGAAAATTATCCAAAATTTTGGAAGTAAAAATTCTCTCTAACATTCAACAGGAAACAAGCTGTCTGAACGTTCTGCAAATGTTACTGGCTACATAAAAGATTTTCTGTATCAATAAGCACAAAACAAAGGACATAAGCATCCCACTAACTAAATCAATCAAATTGTGATGTTTATTTTTGTAAACTCCTTTTATGATTACACATAAAATCAAATCAATACTGGAAAATCCAATTTTCATGAGTAGACCTCTCTTGGGAATCGTGTGCATGGGCAGTGGGAGAAAAATGATGTTCTGCAAATTACCAAAAAATATGTTTTTCAATTACATGTTATAAACATTTCTTTTGTGAACAACTTTAAGTGGTGAATTAAAAATAGGCTATTTCTATAAACATAATTCAGATTAACGTTAAAGTTACATGTGAAAAAAGCTTTTCTGACAATAGACAGTAAAAGTGGGTCTTCTAAAAGCCAAGGCTACTAAAGTGTAGATTGAACAGATTAATATAATAGACTCTGAGGAAACAGTTTAATACGCTCTAAAGTATAAAGAGAAACAATATGAAAAATAACTTGTTTGCCTCAAAATATATTGTAATGTTTTCAACTTCAGAATACATAGCAACAAGAAAATCAACAAACAATGCTATACAAAGAAGATATTGAAAGTATACTAGAATGTGAAAAATTGTGTTTTGATTTATAATGAAAGGGACAGCCAGATTTCATATATGCACAGTATTAATCTAAATTGGACTTTCTTGTTGCCAAAGGTAATTTACACATTTCTATCCATATTAAAAAAAGTATTTTTATTGACAGTCTATAAAATCTTTGCCAAAACATGTATAGTACACCATCATATTCAATAAAATTTCAACTCATGCAAAAGGGCTTAGACATTTATCTCTAGTCACCCATCCTCTGTTATGTGTATAGTGCATTATACATTTACTTACAATCATTGCTATATTAGGGTGTAACCCCTTCAATTTGTTAGCACATATCTTCTGCCTAGATGGGTGCATTTCTCACGTAGAGCAGTCCAGGGGAGGTGGATTTATTTTGACATGTTTCACAGATAGCTTCTTCATAGACAGGGATCATTTTGTAAAATGATGTGTATGTGTATTGTATCATAAGGGACCGGGGCACACTCTGGGTGGGGAAAAAGGTGAACCAATGGCTCAGATCTGTCAGCGATATTCCCATGTGCTTTCATGGCTCATGGCTCAATTGAATTCAACACTGAGCTATTAGATTTTCCTTAGAGAGATCTCCTGCAGCCATCCCAGCCATCCCTTTGAACGAGGGAAAATCTAATAGCTCAGAGTTGAATTCAAGTGAGACATGAGTAAGTGAAAGCATATAGCAATATTGCTGACAGATCTGAGCCATTGGGTCATCTCTCCCTCTGCAACCCTCAACCATAGTGTGCCCCCGTCCCTTATGATTTGATACATATTCACATTGTTTTAATAAAATTATCCCTGTTTTTGAAGAAGCTAATCATGAAATGTGTCAAAATAGAGCCATCTCCCCTGTACTGTGCTATGTGACAATTGTATCCAGTAGGAACAATATATATGCTAAAAAACACTCTAACATAGCAATGATTGCAAGTAAATGTATAAGGCATTAAAGGCGTAACAGGATTTAGGCAACTAGGGATAAATGTGTAGGCCCTGCTGTATAGATTCAAATTTTATTGAACATGATGTGATATTATACATATTTAAAAATGGCAAAGGTTTATAATCTATCAACAAAAATATGTTTTTTTATAAAATGTGTGATTAATATTGGGAAAGTCCAATTGAGATTAATATTGTGCATTTCTAGTACTGAAAATGATATGGTGCTTATGGGCACCCACCAATCCCCCTAATATACAGATTTTAGATCCTTTTGTCAACTTTTGGCAAAAAATTTAATTCTGATAGAACAGTTCATATTGGCCCCTTTTGCAGGTATAGCTATGTAAAACGTTAAAAATAAGTGCTTATATTGTTTAGAATCCAGAAATACACTGTCTCACCGTGTTCTGTACATGCTCAGTTGCTCTCTCTTTTTTGGCACTAAGCTAAAAATGTAGAGGCTGATCTGCTAGCAACATAAAGATTTACTGCTGCTTAGGGGCTCGGGGCTTTAGCAAAATGGCAGCCCCCAGCAAGAAGAAATAGGAAAAATGCTGGAGGCAATTTACAGCACAAACTAATTTTGGTGGCATAATGATTAATGTGGAATGCATGTTCCTGCATTTTTTTTCAAGTTGTTATGGGTAAAGATTCGCTTTAAAGAACACAGCAAGCATGCTGTAAGTACACTATTTTTTTAAATAGTTACTTCTGGTCTCAATGATCTCCAATCATTTAGTCAATATAGAGTTTATCAAACCTAAAGCAGTTTTCCAACTTTTGATAATTTTATAAGATAATTAGATCTAGAAATCACACAATGTTCTTGAAAGCATGTATCGTGAGTAAATCCTGCATTAAAAGTATATTGCAAAATATATCTCTGATAATTTTCCTTTAACCTCCCTAGTGGTCTGATTATGTCAGTATTTATGTGCTCAAAGTGTTACATTGTTTTCAATGGAAACATGTTGTTTTTTTATTGTAGGCCTGTAATTCTTAGGAATACTTCACTGAAATCTGTCCGAACAAGAGTCTAGTAAACATCCCGGGTATGATAAAATTTGAAACACGAAATCATAAATTATAATATAAGAAATAATCATAAAAAATAATAATATAATAATAAATTTAATTCAATAATGTAATCAAACCAAAAACACTGAAATCTGATATAGAGCGCCAAGTTCGCACATCACTGAGCTTAGTCGCAGAATCATTTTCAGTGTCTGATGATGAATTTCCCCACTAATCATTATTACTCAATTCTGCAAGTGGTTCTATTTTACTATCGCTGTCCTCAACCTGGTCTAAAACCGATTTTGATCTAAAGGGACGCTTTTTGGATTCCATGGACATTTTTCAGTTTCCAGGCAGAAAGAACAGTAAAAATGCAGGCAGGGCACAGGACAAAGCACTAGGGACAAAATGTATGTGAAATGGTTTGATACAGTAATGTAATACTATCAGATTTTAGTGTATTGAGTGAATGTCAAATTTTTATATTTTTTAAATTCCCGCCGGTTCCACTACCCGTATGTAATGACGCTCGCAGGAAACGGAACCCGGAAGACGGATGCCGGCATCGGCCAGAGGACATGGCTGGGGACACTGCAGGCGGGACATCGCAGGACCGCAGGAAAAGGTAAGTACTTGAGTGATCAATGGAGAAGCAAAGTATAGCTCTGATATTTTCCCTTTAAATATGTAATTTTTCCAACTTTTGATAATATTACAAGGTAATTAAATCTATAAATAACATAATGCTCTGATCCTGTATTAAAAGTTTATTGTAAAATATATCTCTAATAATGTGTCTTTAAATTTGTAATTTGGAAGAGATCCCCCAATGGAAAAAAGAGAGGGGAACACATCTTTTTTTAAACATATTATTTATTTATATTACATGTATTATTTGTTTTTTTATTTAGGCTTTTGCAAAGAGTAAATATACAATATAAAGGCCAGGGAACACGCTTTTATATTACCATATGCATAGACTGACCACAAATGTAAACAGCCAGTATCAGGAGAACATTTACTTACATTTTCAATTTGTAGTTACCTGCATAACCTGCACTGATAGCTATATAAATTGAAAGAATGCAAGAGTCATCTGCTATGTCCCTGTGAATCCCAATTATTTAATTGGACCTTATAAATTGGAGTGCATGCTCTTCATTGAACTTTTTCTGATAGCCATTTTTCTTACTATTTGCAGTTGTGGAACAACCAAGACTGTTGAAGTAAGGGGCACAATGATGATAGCAATGGTCAAATAGAATAAAAATAACACCTAAAAAAGGAAACACAAAAAAACATGGTTTTTGCTTTTTGGAACAGAAATAACACTGACTTAACTGGGCTTGTTCAGTCGCTTTAAATTAATCTCTCAAAATCAGTGGCTTAGCTTAAAAAAGAGAGCAAGCAGAAGGATATGGAAAACAAGCAGACTAAATTTTTGCAGTTTTACTAAATATTTTCCCAATTTTTGCTGAATCTATAGAGCCCCTCAGTCTTAAAATGACACAGGTTGTACCAAGAAAAACCTCAACCCTTGGTGTTAATATTATTAATAGAAAATGCTAATAGTGCTTTCCTGCCTGACCATCTGTGGTTAGACATTAATTGCTGCTGACTAGTTGAACTTTGTTTTAATTTCATTGTGACGATGCATACAGTGTGTTGTCTTTTCCATTAGTTTATGCCTCACTTTGCAGTGCAGAAATGGCACTCACTCATTGTCTGTCAACTATTTAAAGAAAGAATTCTTGCATTTAAGCTACACTTTTATCCATTTATCAAATTGCAAATATTTAATTTGTGTTTTCAAATAGGAAATACATATTTTTAAAGTATCTGCCAATCTATAGAGCTACTTATATAATTTATTTTCTAGTGTGCTGGAGTAGTAATGGAGGGAAATGTCTTTAATACCTGTTTCTGCTTATTCATACAATTAAAGAGATATTAAAGGCATGTTATACCTACCTGCTCTGTGTAGTGGTTTTGCACAGAGCAGCCCTGATCCACCTCTTTTTGGGTCCCCAGTGGGTGCTCCTGGCCCCTCCTTTCTGCCTAGTGCCTCCATAGCAAGCATCTTGCTATGGGGGCACCCAAGTAGACTTTCTCTTGAGCCGCTGCTCTTTCTGTCCATTTGCTCTCTGATTGGCTCACTGGCTGTGACTGACAGTAGCGGGAGCCAATGGTTCCCACTGCTGACCCAGGCAATGAGGAGGGAGAGACCCTGGAAAGCCACTGTTCTCATACACATCACTGGATTGGGATTGAGCTCAGGCAAGTATTGGGAATCTCGGGGGACGGTTTCACACAGGTTTTTTTACCTTCATGCATAGAATGGCAGCCTTTACAACCACTTTAATGTATGCTTTTAAAAATAAATACACATTAAGGCTCGGTTCACACTATGCAGGCTGGTTGCGGGAATCTAATCAGTTCCTGCATCTGCAACTGAATCACACTCCCACACTCTGAATGGCACCCCCTACGCATCCCAACCCGCAGTGTGATTGCGGGTATGGGAACCATGCTGTTTCCCTGCACCTGTGTTTTTAAAAATATGCATGCAGTTTTTTAATTTTTTTTTTTTTTATGTCTGGGCACAGCAGTCTACATCAAATTAATGGGCTTCAGTGCCCAAGCAAAAGCAGGCTGCATGGCATGCAATAGTATGAACTAAGCCTTATAAAACATTCTGACTATTTATAATAGTTACCCTGATACTTTTTATCCTGGTGTGTGACTTGCCAAAACCAGATGATGTGCAAGGGGGTATTGGACTGCTGGAGAACTTCTGCTTTCTGTGCAATCCAGATATTCAGCATGCTGTCTTCAACAGGCATTTATTTTAGTGTCTTAAAAATTAAAATACCAATATTCGGAGGGTACTAAATACAGTACCTAAATGCAACCTATTTAAGTGAATGGGGTCACGCTGCAATGTGGTATTTTCAGGCATTAAAACAGGCATTGAGGAGGCAACATATCACTTATTCACAGCCTGTAAAATGTCCTCCAAAAAGGGATCCATCAAGGACTGCTCTGCAGAGGGCAAAGCTTATATTACTTAGAGTCCTTACAGTTTATGCAGCCTGACTGCATTACAGTAACAAAAGAGGAGGCTTCAACTGGAATACTTTACTTTAAGAATTAGTGATATAAAATAAATCATTCGCACATTAACTTCAGCTAATTTACAGTTATGTTTCTTTTTTTATTTCATGATTCATAAATACATTTAATTTTTTAAAATGCTAACCATACAACACATTATACAATATGCAGTATAAGAATTTCAAATATATCACACATCAGTCTTTTTATTTTTCCATGTTCCTGTTTCTGAGAGGGACTTCTAAAAAGGGCAGATGATTGATGTTTAAAAGATTCCTGCCCTCTCTCTGCTGAATGTTTGAATTTGAGGTTGCCATGGTGATGTTGGTAGTAACTGTCTGGGACTTTTGGGTTTTTTTAGATTAAATGCTTAGAAATTGAAATAACATAGCAGCTAAAGACAAGGCAGCACTGATAGCGGAAGTGCCTTTACTGCTCTGATATGTTTAGTGGTGCAGGTGGTAGTCTGATTTCGACTGGAGAAGTGTTTTCAAGTTGCACACCTCATATTTTTGATAGAAAACATAAAGCTTTAAATTAATAAAACAATGATGTTGTGTTATTTTAAAGCCAAGTCACGTAGGTGTCTGTATTGCTAGAGAACAACAAGAACTGTGCAGCTCTGTGTCTGCTTCCTATCAGATTTTCACAGCCCAGAGAAGCTGATGATCAAAATATGGAAATTAATCCAAACTCATGTTAGAAATATTATGTTTTCCGGTCAGGTTTTCTTGTTTAGTCATTTTATGCAAGATTTTTTTTGCAACAAACAAATAACTGATGAAAACTGAAGGAAGAAAACATGTGAAAATAGATTGTATATTAGAAGCTTTGATGAGTTTAATAAAAAATGGAGGTAATGAAAGGTGGAAGGGTTGCCCAAAGAAGCCTGATAGAGGCTTGTCATTGTTTAATAAGCAGATCGGAGCTGGCACCTGTCTAATCACTATTGGCAACTATTTAATTTTTCAACTCCACACTAATATAATGCCAAGAAACATTCTACTATATTATAAATGATTGCATATTGCACAACTCATTTACATTTTCTATATTATCATATTTCCAAAGTAATATTTCAAAATGATTACATCATAAAAAACAAATAAGACACTTAAGAAATGTGACTTCAGGCACATTTACTCATGTCCCTGTTTCACATATGCCAGAAGGGTGCAATATTCAAACCTATTTGTTCGCCAGGTAATTATAGGCTTAACCAGTAATATACACTCCCTGTTCTAATTCACAAGGGTGATCACCAATAATTTCAGAAGTGATTAGATATACGATATACACCTTAAAATATTAAAATAAAGGTATATGGTATCTGTCTAGTCTCCCTATTCCAGTAGAGAAGCTCCTCTCTGCGTCTGCTAGTCCTCACCGAAAGCTGCAAATTTCTGATGAACTGGAATAATTTGCTATGTGGGTCGTCCTGTCAGCACCCTTCTATGCAACATCCTTCGGCTGAAAAATCAAAGAAGCCAGTCAGAAAATGTTCAACCAAAAAGCTGCTTTTTTCAGTTGCTGTTCAGATACAGAATAAATTAGGTAAAGTGTGAGATTCGTCCAACTGCACTGTAAATCGTGGATGGATGGTTGTGTTAGGTTCTTTTGTTCAGCCTGTAGGCGTAATGAAAAAATCTAACAGTATATGACCAGCTTTGCTTTCAAAAACTCCTGGAGAACAGCAAAAGAGAGGACTGCTTACCTGCGGAGACCAAATGCCTAGCACATATGGGCTTCACTGTATTTAACAGAAATATGAATAGTAGGCTTTTACAAAGTATGTTTAAATCTGAATTCTGGGCAAAAAAGGGTTAATTGTTTTTGTCTAGCGGAGAGATGAAGGGAAGTAGACTGACCTGATTTTTCAATCATCCCCAAACAAGACCGGTCTCTGCAGCTCATGTATCCGTGCGCTTTAGTGGTCTTGAGCGGTGGACTGTTCCTGACATCATCAAGCCCACAGCAGGCTCCTTAAACCTGCTCTGGATGTGAAGATGCCAGAAACAGTCTACCACTGGATCATGAGGGAGCGCTGGAGTGGAGGATCAGGTGAGAATAAGGCTCTTATTTCCCTTGGACAAAACAAGCATTTAACCCTTGCAGTGTGGGGACAGCCCACTACAAGGAAAAGGGCTTCAAAGCTTTCAGTGATCTTCAAGTGAAAACTTTTCCTTCATTGAAATCATGATAATGGAACTGCTAGCATGGTGCAGTCTGCTGTCTCCAACAGAGCTTTATTCAGGAGAAACAGTCCCTGTGCCTTAGCAATTTGCGAATGCCCCTGTTGGCCATCTTGGGTGGATGCGAAGAGTAGGAAAAGAGCACCTGATGGTTAGGGAAAGTGATAGTAGCAGGGAAAGGTTCCAGTCGAGTAGGGACAGGTTAGGGACCAGCAAACCTGCGCTGTAGTCTCCCCATTGGGACTGGACTGATCATGCTGCATCCCCCCCTCTGAAGAAAGATGCTGTTGGTGCATCTTTTATCCTAAGTGGCACTCTC